GATTTGATAATTGTGTTGAAATTTCGTTTCATTGTTTTTTATATAATTTAATTAACAGAAAAAATTATAAATATAATTTTGGATTTTTTTAAATTTTGTATTTTTTTTAATTTTTTCACCAAGTATATTCGACAGCCAATGGTTGTCGATTATATATTTATATTCGACAGAATAAATTTCTGTCGATTATAGTCTTTTTCGACTACTGTTTTTACGACATAAATACTTGTCGATTATGTCTGTCGATTAAAGTATAATCGACAGAAATCCTTGTATAACCGACAGTATTTTCTGTCGATTATACTGTGTTTTCTAGTAGTGAGAATGATATAATTCCCTTTTCCTTCCCTCCCCTCCCCTCCCCTTCCATTTCTCTCAACCCAACATAAGATTAATGAATCAATATGAAAACAAATTATTAAAAGCATTTAAATAAGAGGATAATGTAGGGTAGGTCATTTTTTTTTAATTGTTTTTGAAGGATTTGTCTAAAAATCTACTTTATAATTAATATTTTCAAAAACTGACAGTTGGATTAAAAATTTTATTTATATAAATCAGACATGTTGAATTTTATATTAATCTAATACTTATAATATTTTGATAAAAAAATTCTCTATTTGCCAACATATATTCAATGATATTAAATTTTTTATAATCAATAAAGTAGTTAGACTTATTAAAATAATTTAAAAATTGATATACATGATTTATATAAATAAAAATTTTAATTTATTGATTAATTTTAATTAAAAAATAAAATTTTAAATATATCCTCTAAAGAAAATTTGAGTGAACACCTATAAAACACATTTTGCTTTAAATAAAATTTTAAATTTTATGCACTCTTTCTTACCCGACTTGAAAATATTCCCTATTTTCAGAATATACTATGAGTATGTTTTTTTTTTATTTTGGTTGCACAACAAGAAACAATTATCTTTCATCCTTTGTACCACCTCACCTGTATGTTATGCGATTCAAACTCAAAATTTCTTATTTTCAGTGAAAGGAGATGACTACTGAGTTATTTAGATCATAATATACCATAAATATTTATGAGGGAGGTAGATGCGAATAGAATTAAAGAAAAAATAATAATAACAATAAAAAAACACTAAGTCTTGAGACTCAAAATCTAGAAACGTCTACAAAAATCCAATTTATTTATTTTATTACTTCGGGAAATAAACAATCAAAAGTGGCGTTCAGCTAAATTGAACGATCAATTGTTAGGCCAACGAATCCGAACATCACGGTCCCCATTTGTCGGAGTTCAATTCAATCTATCTTACTATTATTTTTTTTTAATAGGTACAATTTAAGAGTAGAGGGTGAGAAATTATAATATAATAACATTATGATTTAAATTTTAATCATTATTTAAATATTAAATATACTTATTATGTGGCGCACAAACGATTATGCCAATTCAATTTATCTTGTACCATAGAAAATGAAAAAATCAATCTATGTTAGGCAAAAAGTGGAAATGACAAAACCATCCAATTCAAAAATGAAAATTATTATTTAATGGATGAAATGGGCAAATTCACCCATCTTCCTACATGTTTATTTGGGTGTTTTTACTCAGTTTAGTAATGTTTTCATTTTGTTTGTTTCCATTAGTTTGGCTTTTATGATTTCACCAAAGGTTAATTGTATGTCGATGTCTTGAATAGGGGTGTTCTAGTGTGAATTGATTGGAATTTTAATATTTTTAAAATTAAATTAATTTAATTAGTTAATAAAAATTTTAAATTAATTTAATTTATTATTATATTATAATTAAGTTAATATAACTTAAATTAGATTGGTATAGTTTGGTAACACTATTTTAAATATATTTTATTAGATGAAGAAATTTCAATATTAAATTATAAAAAATACAATAATAAAACATACTAACATTATAAATAACAAAATAATAATACTAATAAAGTAACTAAAATATATAAACCCAAACTGTTGCCGCTCAAGAAGATAAAAAGTTTTTAGAGCAAAGTTTTTATTTATATAAGAGGTCATTGAGAATTGCACTTTTTTTTTTCTTTTGCTGCATTATTTTTTGATTAAGTTAATTAAATTATATCATATAATTATAAAACAAAAAAAGATAAGAAAATAATAACTAATACAATTAATATTATGGTACTGTAATTAAACAATATTATATTATAAAAATAAGAAATGTACAACAAAGAAAGAAAAATTCTAAAAAGATAAGAAAATAATAACTAATACAATTAATATTATGGTACTGTAATTAAACAATATTATATCATAAAAATAAGAAATGTACAACAAAGAAAGAAAAATTCTAAATATAATTTGTTAATTATATTTTTATTTTACCAAAAAAATTTATAAAATAT